TTTTGTATGTTTCTGAGACTAGAAAAGAAAATAGTGGTTATCTTTAGGATTTGGTGTCTGGATTTGGGTGTCTATAATTTTGAATTATGTATGCTATAGTATTGTTTTTAGTTTTTAAAAAGCATACATGAAGAGAGGCAGGTATAATTTTAACAGTATTTCTAAAGGGGCATAAAACTGTAGCTCTGGAAGGGACCTTAGAGATTCTTGGACAGTTGCCCTCAAGTTAAAGATGAGAAACCTCAGCCCTGGCCAGGTTGCTCAGTTGGTTGGAGCGTCATCCTGTGCACAAAATGGTTGAGGGTTTGATTCCGTTAGGGCACATACCTAGTTTGAAAGTTCGATCCTGTATAGTTGGGGCATGTACAGGAGGCAAAGGATTGATATTTCTCTCTCACATCAATGTTTGTCTCTCTCTCCCTTCCTCTCTCTCTAAAGATCTTTCCTCAGGTGAGGAAAGAAAGGAAGGGAGGGATGGAAGGAAAGAAATATGGCAAGCTCAGATTTCGGAAAGTATCTACAAAGCTTGTGCTAGAGTTCAGGTCCTGAGGGCTACAAAAGCTTAAGAATATATTGATTTGTTCTATTCTTAGTCTAACAGTTTATTTAAATGCTGTCCTCTTCTTGTTGCAAAGAATTGATTTTGGAAGACCCAATAAAATGTTGACCTTTCTAAGTTCTTTCTTTCCTCTTTTTTTTTTTTTTTTTACATTTCTTCAAGTCACTATCTCTGGCAATAAAGATAAAGTGGTAGTGGTAACTCTTACCCACATTTTGGAACTTTGAAGACTCAATCCCCTAACAGTGAATTTATTTATGAGTTCTGTAAGTATTTAGTATTTGAAGTGAATTTGGGTTTAGAGTCCAAAGCTTCCCTTTTTTGTTTGAATACCTGACTATTCTAGATTTGTAAAATTGACTTTACTGAGTTTTTGTTCATCTAATACTCATCTAATTTTTGTGACTTCAAAGTGACTTGCTATTGAAAGGCAAAATTTATTTTCTGTCAATATCTTCTGTAAAAGATGGTAGTACATTTTTTAAAGAAGGAAAATTTATGTATTGAGAATTTCTCAGTTCTTGAAAATATGAGCAGTTTTTCTTTTAATTATAAGTCGAGTCTTTTCCTGGCTCTTTAAGGCCAGAAACATTTTCTCTCTATTGATTGGAAAGTCATTCAAAAGAAATCTTTAGTAATGAGGCTGGTAGTTCAACATGGGACTGGACATCCAAATTGCATTCAAAGAATATTTTTTATGGTTGATTGACTTTTTTCCCTCTCTCTCAAATCAGTTTTTTAAAAAGTTTAAAGAATTATGTTTGCTTGTGAGTCTACTACTTTATAGGTGGGGAATAAAATTTAAATAATCTATAGGCCTCTCTCAAAATGGATACTTTATCTTCTATAATAATAAAAGTGTAATATGCTAATTAGTTTGGATAGCTGAATGACCTTCTGGATGTCCTTCTGGATGACCTTCAGACGACCTTCTGGATGAAGTCAGGGCTGTGAGGACCGAGGCAAGCCCACCACAGCTGCAAGGGCCGAGCCCCTTGCATGAATTTCGTGCATTGGGCCTCTAGTTTGATGATAATTTGATTAGGTTGATAAGATGAATCTTTGTTTTTTGAAGGAAAGGGTTTTTAGGAAATAAAGAAACCTTTTCTCATCTTAAGGGACAGAGTAAATCATGTCTGTACAGTTTTAATCAGTAAAGTTTTGATTGAATTGAAAGGAAATAAAGGTTATAGAGGGCCAAGAACAAATAGAGTTGCAAATTTTTAACCCTGTGTACTTAGGGGTGAATCCAGTTTGTATAACTACTTTACTTCTGTTGGAATTAGGTAGTTTGACAGTTGACTTAATTTGGTTAGGTACTTTAAAGGTAGGTTGGAGGATGTCAGTGTTACATGTGTTTTCTGGTTTGTTTTCAGTATCCTTTCTGATAAGGGAGAGAATTTGGTTGGTCCATTTGGACTCTTCAAATTGGGTAACTATTGTGCCTCATTAAGTTCTTTTTACATTTCAAATCATTATTGAACTCAAATGTCCTTAATTATAGTTTGACTGTTTTTCACTAATCTTTCATTTACCCACATTGAAATTCTTGAGCCCAGGACCTGCATTTTTCAATGGAACTACAGGGAGATAGTAGAATAGCTTGGGTTTTGGTCTAAGCTCTGCTCCTGGCCTCCTGAGTATACTATGTTACATTGCACAAAGCTGCGTTGGGGTTCCTTTTCCTAATCTGTAAAACAAAATCATTTGGATGTACATTAAGGCCTTTTATATCTCTAGAATTATTTTACTAATTTCTTTATTCGCCAGATATTTATGAACAGATATTTATGAACACCTTCTATGTGCCAGGCACAACACAGGATGCTCTGGGTGCAAGTCCCTTGCCCTCAAAGAGTATTCAGACTAATAACAAAGAACTCCCTTCACTTCATTCTTATCACTTCAGTCTTTTACTTTTGAAGAATTAAGTAGTATTAGCAAGTTTTCTTGATTTTTTATTATCATTCAATAAGGTATTTGTTAAAATTGTTGGTATTATTTACATCTCCATCTCCAAAAATGCTCTTCTATCTAGCTTTATTTTTCTATTTGTAAGCCAGTTTCTCATCTTGGAAAACAGATCTTGGATTCCCAGTCCCATTATGATTAAATGTTTACTTGATAGACAGTAAGTCATGTATTATAGAGTAAGGCTTGGTGGTCAAAAAAACTGGTGATTTCTTTAAGGCAAATAAAAAGTAATGACAGAGTCTAGACCAGTGATGGCGAACCTTTTGAGCTCGGCGTGTCAGCATTTTGAAAAACCCTAACTTAACTCTGGTGCCGTATCACATATAGAAATTTTTTGATGTTTGCAACCATAGTAAAACAAAGATTTATATTTCTGATATTTATTTTATATATTTAAATACCATTTAACAAAGAAAAATCAACCAAAAAAATGAGTTCGCGTGTCACCTCTGACACATGTGTCATAGGTTCGCCATCACTGGTCTAGAGGCTTGATATTGTTTTTAAAATAGAAGCATAAATGGATATATTAGAAAAAAATTCAAAAAGATTAACGATGGCTTTGTTTAAAACATTTTATACCTAAAAGAGAAAAGAAAATTTCTGTTGGATGCTAAAAAGGAAAAGATGAGTGTGCAGCTTCTGACTTTGAACTGAGTATTATATTTACTCAGAGCCCCCCACTGTCTAGATCCTGGTTTTCAGCTTTCCAGGACCAGAATGTCAGTATTATAAGTGCTCTCAGAAGAGATGATCAGGCTCTGGACTGTACACAGTGTAGTGGATTAATTTGCATAAAAATTCACATAAAACAAAGTCATAGAAGGTGTGAGTAGGACTGCTACTTTTGACTGTAGTCAGTGTATGCTAGGTGACTTTTGAGCTAAGACCAAAATAACAAGAAACAAGAAAAGTGAATATCTAGGGTTTTCTAGGCTGAGGGAAAACAATACAAAGACCCTGTTATGGAAACAGGTGTGGCTTATTTATAGAAAGAAGGCCAGTGTGCTTGGAGTGAAGATAGTGATGTAGAAGGGTAGGTGATGAATTTGGTATAGTGGGCCAGCACTTACAGCAGTGGTTCTCAACCTTCCTAATGCCGCGACCCTTTCATACAGTTCCTCTGGTTGTGCTGACCCCCAATCATAAAATTATTTTCGTTGCTACTTCATAACTGTAATTTTGCTACTGTGATGAATCGTAATGTAAATATCTGATATGCAGGATGTATTTTCATTGTTACAAATTGAACATAATTAAAGCATAGTGATTAATCACAAAAACAATATTTAATTATATATGTGTTTTCCGATGGTCTTAGGCAACCCCTGTGAAAGGGTCGTTCGACCCCCAAAGGGGTCTTGACCCACAGGTTGAGAACCGCTGACGTATAGGTTCAGGTAAAGATATTGAATTTTATTCTAAGTGTGGTTAAATGGGAGAGAGACATGATCTGATTTACTTTGTAAAAGTTCATTGTGGCTGCTATGTGGAGAATAGACTGTGCTATAGAGGAAGCTGGGAGATCAATTAGAAACTGCCGGTAGGAAGCCAGTCCATCCTTGCTGCTTGACACAGACTGTGGGGAAGAAACATCTGCACAGCATGTTTCAAGGGACCTGGTGTATATGGCATACTGTTCTTTATATGTTTGCTCCCCTTCTTGGCGCTATGTGTTTTAACCAAGGTCACCTCTCCGAGAAAAGTTATTTCCCCAGATAGGGATTTTTCCCTGAAGTTAGGGAGGGAATAAAACCTCTTAACTGCCAGGCGGGTAATTAATCACTTTAACTACAAACAATCATGCTTAAGTACATAGTTTAGGTAAGAGAAAATGGACAGAAATGGATAAAATTAAAATGGGTAGATGTGTGGAATATATTAGGGAGCAGGACAGCTGACAGGACTTGCTGATAGATCGGATATGAAAAGATAGGTTTTGGGCCCTGCCTGGGGGCTCAGTTAGTTGGAGCTTTGTCCCATACACATACCTGCTTCCTTTCTCTCTAAAAAACAACAACAATAATAAAAAACCATATCCTCGGATGAGGATTTTAAATGAAAAAGGTTTTGGGTTGAGCAAATGGATAGAAGATGGTGTCACTCAGTATTTTAGTCATGTTAGATATCTGAAATGAGTATAGTTAATTAATGATAAAAATTGTATTTTTAAATTTTGTAATCTTATGGTAAGAGAGATCTCTAGAGAAGAAAAAGACACTTGATTAGCAGAAACTCAGACTAGAAAATTACTCTGGCATGGCATGTAAGAACAGTAGACATTTTATTCTTTTAAATTAATGATTGGGGATGGAAGCATGGAAAGGCATTCTAAAAGTATTAGGACATACGATTTGTGCCTGGGGCCCAGTCTTGCAAGCAGATAGGCATGAGCCTATCAACAATTTGCACAGGTCTCCCATTAGTAACGGTGCTTAGAATTCATTAGGACAAAGAGCATACTTTTCGACAGAGTTGCCACTTGAAAATGAAATTGGAATTGGAAGCTGGGGTATATGAATGTCTTCGTATCAGATATTTTTCAAATTCTGTATGTTGAGTAAAAGACTATCTGATCTAAGAATCACCTAGTCACATGAATTACAAAGTATTGGATTAGGAGTTGAAAGACTTAAGTTCTGAACTCAAACCCCTTAATAGCTGTGTGACCATGACAGATTGTAACCTCTGAGCTTCTGTTTCCTTATTTGTAAAATACTCGCCCTGCATGCCTCACAGAGCTGTTTAAAATCCCAAATAAGATCATGAATGTCAAAGTACTGTGAAGACTGTGAAGCACTGCTTGCTTGTGAGAGACTGCTTATATAGCCTAAAGCTTTTAACAAAAAGGACCTTGGACTTTTTTTTTTTTTTAAGAGGACCAGGAGGATGTGATGGGAGTGTATGGGTTGTACCTCTACTGTGAATCTTGAGGTTATCTTTCTACTAGTCTTTAGCACTCAACTGTACATATCTATTCTAAGTGGCTTTATTATTATTAACCCAGGTGCCTTGTGAAACGGAGGATTCCAGATACATTTAAATGCTATAAAAATGATAAAATGTACAAGCAAGTTTGGTTTTGCTCTTCCATTAGGTAGTTAGAACTTTATCCCTAGCCATAATGTCAACATGAAAGGCAGGAAACTATGGTTAGTATTTTTTACTTTAATTTTTCCCCCTTTACTTGACCTTTGGGCTGTGGAGTGGAATTTTGTTTGGTTTACTTGGAAATATCTTTTCCTTAAGAAGTGAAATTTATAAACATGCCAGAGGCTTGCTAGCAGTTGAAGGCAACTGTTGGTCAGCAAGAGAATGGGAAGGGGAAAAACAGGTTGGGGTGGAAAAAGTAAAGGAATAGGGAGGAAAAACATATTTGAAAGAAGATAAAAAGCTTAAATCATTTCAGAAAGTCTCAAGTTTTTTTAAAATAGGTATTAAAATTTGAAGTGATTCAAGAAGTAGGGATTGGTCCTTAGAGAGGGGCATAAGTAAAATTAGGGAAA